GTCCGCAGACATACCGCTGTGCCACTGGGGGCTAGCCAGAGCGAAATATAGAATTGTGGGTAAACTGATAACATACTGTATTATTTTCAGTTTGTAAGATTGGGACGAAAATATCTCGAGTTTGAACGTATAATTTTTGGTGTAAAATCTCATAATTTCAGTTGTTAGAAATATATATTCACTTAATTTATCAAGCTGATTAGAAATATAACTTACAGGGGCTTACTAACAAATCTTTCTCCGCCTTATTGTCCCTAAGGAAGGGTACTCCGAAAAGCAAATATTCTGATTTCCACTACGTTTATTAAAAAATAGAAATCTCAACCTTGAGTGAGAAGACAAAGTGTCCAAAGCCAAGAATTCAGACCTCTAAGCATAAACTGACATATCCAAAATCAGGGATCCAGCCTTATAGGGACAACTTGAATGCAAAGACTAGGCTACACACCTACACGGACAACTTAACTTACAGAGAAATAGGAATCCAGACCTCTAAGGCAAGTTTAGCATATTTAAAACGAACGGTCCTGACCTCCAGTGACAACTTGGCATGTGAAGAATCGGGATTTCGGAGATCGAGAGACAACGTAATTTGTCCAAACTCAGGGAGCCAGACCTCTAACGAGACGTTGACCTATACAGAGCGAGGGACTCAAACTTGTTTAGAAGCAGTGCCAAGGACCTACAGTGATGATAATTTGGCCTGTACAGTGTCAGACCTTCAGACCCAAAACGATGGTTTAAGTTATCAGGAATCAATGATTAAGACTTTCAGGGACAACTTAGCTAATCCAGAGGTGAACATTGAAACCTCTAAAGACACTGTTGTCTGTCTAAAAACAAATGTTCAGCCCTCCAAGAGTACTTCAGAATCAGCAGTGAATACTTCTCAAGACGAAATATTTCGTCCAGTATCAGAAACACACGCAGGTGACAAGAAACAATGTAAAAGTATGTCATGGGACATTCATTCCTTGCAGAGTTATCACAGAGATTTGGCATTAGATCTTCTTTGGATTCAGCAAGCAATCAACAGTCGGAAGAATGTAAGTTTTCAATTTTTACAAACGGAATAGTATCATATGTATATATCATGCCATTTTTCAAAATCCTTTTAATAGAGTTACAACCACTTATTTCAGTTTAACTTCAATTTATACTACATTAAGTAATGGTGGCATATAATATATGTTATACACGTTATGTTTTGCAACTATTCTTCCATCTGTATTATGATTATTATTTCTGTCACAACATGTTTCATAAAGTTACAGCGTTTCGAGTGTGTAAAATATAGTGTAAAAACAAATTGTTAATAGTTTCTAAGATCTCGCTTATTGTAAACACTATTTTCTTTACATGAATCTAATTAATTGTTCATTATTTTTTATGAAGTAATAAAAATTAAAAATACACCACTTAGAGGTAAAGAATGCAACCAAAGAAACATACATGTTAACGTATTTTTTAGGTAGGTTGTAGTACCAACATGCTTGTTGTATCTGTGTGCGTCAGGGAAACTGTGCATCCAAGAACCATAAGTTGTGCTGAAACATGGAAGCGTGTTACGTAAATATATTGATCAAAGTTTAATGTAACCAAGAAGTATTATTTGTATGTATCAGATAAGTTGTGGTACAACCAAGAATGTGCCGATATTGTGAGTTAGATTAGCTAAGAAAGGTATTATTTAGTGTAGTAGATAAGATGAAATATAATCAAGAAGGTCGTTACTGATTACTTGTGTGTGACAGATAAGCTTATGTAAAATTAAACATTTATTATTATGTTAGGATTGTAAAAATAAGTCTATTACCTGAATGTACATTATTTCGTAAAAAACAAACCTTGTTTTTTTTTGCTTTTTTTAAATACATTGTTTTATTAAAGGAAACTATAGAGACAAAATTATTTCGAAGTAATTTTAGCTTTGTACAGAATATCATTGGAAATTACTTCCCGCTTTATTCCTTATTTTTCAGCACAATAAAATAAAATAATTAAAGCATTTTAATGATTGGAATTTCTTTTACTCAGTTTTTGAGAACGAAGACTTGTGATATGATGTGCGAACTTTAGAATGTCTAACACTAAGTCACCATTTGAATAGGTAAGTCAGTTTCTGAGTGGGTCTTGAGTATATACAAATGTTAAGAGTTGATGAGTAAAAGATGACTATATTGTCATGTAATTTCTCATGGTTATTCTTTTTGTTACAAAGTGTTAGAAAAAATTCGGTTCATTAAAATGTTACGAAACATTTTTTTACGACGTGAAATATATTATAAGGACACGAGTATTTAACAATATGATATACCAAGATGTAACTCATTCCCACACTTAGCATAAGTTGTTGTATAGTCCTTACTAAATTATTCTATCTGATGTAAAACCACTTTCCCCACTTTGAATAATAGTGTTATATTTTCAAATTTTGTGTAAACAATTAAAAATTACTTTCCAAAATTTTAGGATAGCGATATGTCTATATCAAGTTTCAGTTCTACAACTAAAACCATTATATACAACTTAAGATATTGTTTCCTTCTCGACTTTATACTGTCTAAAATGAAAATAGCATTTCATATTTCAAATGACAAGTTGTTCTATCGTTATGTTTAAGTAGACTAAACCATAATTCCGCGAGCGGGACTGAAGAGAAACAACAGTTTCTGAGCGCCCCTGATTGTCTTTCAAGCCCCTTCGTGACTTGTGAGATTTAATAACCAAAACTACTGCTAAGTTAGTATCGGCCCCCCAGTAGCACAGCGGTATATCTGCGGACTTACAACGCTAGAATCCTGGTTTCGATACCAGTGGTGGGCAGAGCACAGATAGCCCAATGTGTAGCTTTGTATTTAGCTTCAAACAAATAAACAAGTTAGTATCGTATCGTTGTGCTTAAACGTAAAACAAAGTTTAAATTTGGAGCATTTTATAAAAATGTGAAACGAAAATTTTATCTAACAGAACATAAGAAGTAAATCCAAAACAAAAGAAAGAAAGAAGCACACCAAGTGATTGGTAGTCTTTTAATTTTGAATTAGACAAACTTGAATGGTGAATATATCATAGAAATATACTAAATTATGTTAAGTATACAAAGTTCTTTTCTCAAAAGTAGTGTACAATATTTAGGTTATGTGTGTATGTGTATAACGAGAAAATATACTCTATAAAATCAACTAAAATTGTATTAGAGAATCTCTTAGAAAAAATACAGTATTCTTGAAATTAAAGAGTACTTCCGTCAACATAAGATAATATATTACGTTTAAATAAACGGCAGAAAGTGGCTACAGAAAATAAACATTTAATTGAACACAACAGAGTACATTATATAATACTCAACCTGTGCTGGTAAGTAAAATATTGATATAGTTAATTCGTCTCGCACCTTCGCAAAGCACATAAAGCTGGTGCTAACTCCATAATCGTGACATATTATCCCTGGATGAAATGCCAATCCATCGTATTTTCACCCCAGTAATATATATATATGATGTTTCTGCCCCACCTATAGGGAATCAAACCATTTTTTTCTTTTTCAACTAAAGTGGAAAGCATCTACGAAAAAATAAACTTGATCTCCTTCAAATAACACCGAAACATCATACAAATATATATTACTACTAATACCCACTTAGAGGTAAAAAATTCAAAATTAATACCATCTGGTAATATATATATGTTTTATCATCATTCGAGTTTAATGCTTTATTATTAGCTTGGATAAAATATATTTCATGCTTTTCACTTCTTATTAGAGTCATAGTTATATACATTTCTTTCTGTCCAAATAAACATTTTTCATATTCATCGAATATAATTCAATTTTTAACAACATATTTCTTTACACCTTTAGACTTTTTACAAATTTTATCATATTGTAATTTTAAAGCATGCATTTTATATCTAAGCCTTACAAATTCAGTCACTATTTTTTCATTATTCTCCACTCATCTATTAATTCAAGTTCACATGATATTTATGTTTTCCAATATTCTGGACTAATTCATTAAATCACGTTCACTTATCTAATTATAAATTTGTGTATTTCTAAAAATACGAGAGACGGATTGGATAGAATAAGAGTATCGGGAATTATCTCAATCGTTTCATTTCTATAAGCTTTAAAAAATTTATTTTAGATTAATGGGTATCTCCATTATTTCGAAATTGTCATATTTCTCTATTACCAATTCTGAATTTATAAGTAGATCTTAAATTTCGTTCTGTAAATCCTACTATAACTTTTAAATACGAATCTTCTTTGAGCATCATATTCGAATCTATAAAGGGAGGATTAATTGTTCTCAAGAAAGAAATGTTGTCATTGTATAAAATTCCAATAGCAGAGAATGTCCTAGACACATTATCTACGTAACATTTAGTTGCGGCATCGTTTTTTGCAGAAGGATCACCGACATTTCTAATTTTATTATTTTTCACATTGTTTTTTATTAATTAATTATTTTCCAAATTGTGTAATTTTCTCGCAGTAAAATCATGAGTATCTATAAAAAAATTTTAATTTTATTTTGTTTATTTTTAATGTTTTGTCTACATACATTTTGTTGACTGAGTCAGTTTCTTCTATCGGTTGTATTAAATTTTCTATAGTATTTTTATTTGCATCAGATTTTTGTCTTTATTCAGTTTAATGAATTATTTTCCAAATATTGTAATTTACTCGCAGTTTCTGTGTTAAAAAGTATTTAATACTTAAATTAATATTATCAAATGACTCTTTCGATTTTGTTACTAATTCACTTATATTAGTTTCTAATGTTTTATTAAAATCTTGGAATTGGTCATTTTTTTATATATACATTTTGTTGACTGCACCAAAATATTATGATTTCAAAACAATCTTAATACTTCTGTTATCAGCTTCAAAATTATCATTAAATAATAACAATTCTTTGGGTACATATAAGCCATTTTTATTTCTATTAAGAATATTATTCAGATATTTATCATCGATTTTGGTTATACTAAGCATAGTAATAAATTAACAACATCTTTAACATTTTTTAATTGTTTATTATTAATATCATAATTACCATCATCAGTTAATTTAAAACCGTTTCCAGGTGGACCTATAGGACCCTGAGATGTATTTTTATTTAGATTATCATATGGATACTAATAACTCGTGTATTATTACTAAAGCGTTCTCATACAATCGAACCTTTTATTATAAAGATTCATTATTCCTTTTCTGTTTTCAACTAATAGAAAATAAAATCTATACAGCTTCTCTGGAGTTTGTTTGAGTTGCCAGAAGAACTCAATCTTCAAAATGGTCACATTATTATTTTGAAACGTTAAAACATATTATTGGATACAATCTTCCATAACTGGTAAAAGTTACTAAACATCCAATTTATGTATTATTATTCTTTAGCCCAGCTGCTAAAAAATCTCAGTAATATCTAGAATAATCTAATTCTCTAGCTCTAAACGAAGCACCATAATCTTCACTAGGTTATTTATCATTATTAATTCTGACCCATGTTTTTAGTACAGGGTATATCAAGATTGTTGAAAATCATGTTGTTTTCGTTTTGATTTCTTTTCTTATCTTGAAATTGGGGAACAACATCGCTTGTAGTGTATACAATATATGTACAACCTGATCCATTCTGAGCATTACTTTTAATAACTCTTACACCACTCCAGCTGATTTTAACATCAGCTTGAGGATTTAGAGTAAAACTATTATATTCAACTTCTTGATCAGGATAGGGTTTAGTATGAAGTAACCATAACGAACTATCTCTGATAACAACTTTACAGTTTTCATTATCTGTATTTGTATAAATCATATCATTACTCTTATTTCCCATAAAAGCAAATTCAATATTTGAAACAGTTTTTCTAAAATCATTAAAGAATCCAAAATAATGTCTAATTGGAATCCATAATTTCATTTGATTACTATTGTTTGCTAGAATCCATTTTCTTTGTAAAATCTTCGTTGTAAGAGGCACTATGTTTAAATGTTGATACCAATTTATCAATTTTGATATTACAATATTCAACACTCAATGCTGTTGTTCCATCGTCATCAGATACTGTTTACTTGTAGTTTCTGCATTATCTCTATAATTAAACATACTGTTTGTTTCACTTGTGCTGTAATCATTCGTAAAATTGATAAATTCTTGTACATGATGAGCGAGACATGATAATTCAATTTTTCGAATCATGCTTTGTCATTTTTAATTCTGGACAAATATAATATATTATCATAAATATATTTAATGTTGAACACATAATTGGTCTTCTCTTTTTCATTGATAAATATCTAATCTTGCAACGTTGTTTATATTCAAGAATTTCTATATAATGTTGATAATAATTAGGTACACTCGTTAGATCCCAAGTTATTTCCATTTATTAGCAATAAAATATTTTTAATCCTGTTCCATATTGATATTGAGGCTATTTATCCAAAATCGATTTTTTATTTAAGAGATTTCTATTAAGTATATTTTTCAATTTACTTTCTATTTATTATTTGGCTTCCACTTTTCTAGCCAATACTTCTAAAGCTTTGTATTTAACCTTATTCAAAATGGTAGTGAAATATCTCTCCCATAATATTTTCTAATTTTCGCAAATAAACGGTGTTTATTATAATTAATTTATTATCACTTAAAAGTAGCCTATAAACAACTCGCTGTTTGTTCAAGTCAATCGAATAACCGTTTTGATCTGTAATCTTCATCCTTATTCTATACATAAAATTTGATCTGTCAACATCTGTATATATTGGCTTTGTTTCTTCAATTTTAATTAAACTTTCAGGTGGATTAGAGGGAGTAAATGAATATAAAATATTGCTAGACTCATCATTGTTTAATACTTCAATGATAACATCACAATGAATCTGAATGTCGTCTACACCTCTAGAGATGTTAGCTATATATTTCCGTCACTATTCTTGATCGGAATACATTTTTGGTTAAAATCCTAATAATTGATATAACTTCCCTTTAGATAAGTCAAATTGATAACATGGAGCTAATTTGATCATAAACCTTGAAGATTCAAATTGAATGTCACATTTTATAGGAGGATCATTACATAATTTAACTAAAA